GTATGATCCACGTGCATTGTTTCAGGTGTTCGGGGAGCATGATCCACGTGCGATGTTTCAGGTGTTTGCAGAGTATGATCTACGTGCATTGTTTAAAGCATTCGGAGAGTATGATCCACGTGCGATGTTTCAGATGTTTGGAATGTATGATCCACGTGCAGTGTTTCGGGTTTCGGAGAGTATGAGCCACGTGCAGTGTTTCGGAGAGTATGAGCCACGTGAAGTGTTTCGGGTTTTTGGAGAGTGAGATCCGCGTGCAATTTTGGGGTTTTCGGAGAATATGATCCGCGTGCAATGTTTTGGGTGTTTAGACAGTATGGTATTCCAGAACCGGTCAGGTGAGCTACAAAAAGGCACAACAAATATGGGCGAATCCGCATTATCAGTGGTTAGAGTTGCGAAGGGAGCTAACCCAAGATACAGACTGGAGGTATGCTGATTAGTTTCGTATCCAGAAACGCATGACGCTTAGAAAACGATAAACTGCGTCCTCCATTAGTCACATAATCACTAAAACTATATAATCTAGCGAGTCATTTCCATCTATATGAATAGCAGCATGTTCCTTTACGATTGTTAGACGTGTTTGTCAATATTACTGATTATGGACCACTTACTAGCTGGTTGTTAGAGGGTGTCGGATGTAACCCACATTCTAGTCGAATATTATTGAATCCAAGAGCATCATCAGATGTTGAAGTAACCAATATTTGCGACAGGAAAGGTGGTCAATTTCATTATCCTTTAAAAAGCATATAAAGCGTTTTCTACATACGATATCAGCAACTAAACTGTAGATATTAAAGTGAAACAGAAATGTGGGCCCATATCTTTTTCTCTGTGGATACTTTTGTGAGTTGGCCCACATTTTTAAAATATGAGTAAAACTACAAATCTTAAATTTAAAAACATATGCTAACAGTGGTTATGCAAAAGAACGAAAAACGGCCTCTCCAACAAACATGTAGGCATCAAAGTAATTTCTAAAATTGGACTGAGGAAATAGACTCTTCCTACTTTCAAGAATTACAAATGAATAAAAATTAAAGTGATAAAAACAAACGAACACGTGCGTAAAGATGTTATTCATTCATAACTTAAAGAAGCAGCATTTTATTTTACCCAAACATGTTTAAGGCTCAGAGCAGCTGTCACTAGGCAGTTGACATCAGTAGCAGTTATATAAATCACCTTTTGTGTTTCTTGTTTTTAGTGAAATCAATTACTTATCGTCAGTGATCAAAAATGCAGTTTTATCGAAATTCTTTTTCATCTAATTTGAAAACAACAATGAGTCAACCGTGTGTCATGATTATTACTATAATTGAGTATGATTATATTGATGGGAAGTTCATCATATATAACATTGAAGCTGACAAGACTCTTCATGCAAGTTAAATTACCGCAATATTCTCGAAACCCTTCAGCAACACATATGTCCTTTCTTACGTAAAATGATCAACAATGTGTACAGTCATGCATGGTGCAAATACAGTCAAACACCATTGTGTCGAAGATTGCTTCGAGTTATCCGAGCATCGACAAAACCGCAAAATGATAACTAAAACATTAAACAAGCAGGGGCAAAGCTTGTATTTTGAGACAGGCACATTAAAGATCTACGCACTGGCGATTGACTGTACACCTGTAAATGTTTCGAGTTATACGAAGTTCGATACAGCCGTAAATTATGACTAAAGAAGGATTAAGCAGAGATCAAACTTTAACTTCGAGACAACCGGAAATTCGACTGATTAAAGATCTACACATTGGTGTTTGAGGGGATTTCAAAAGACTGGTATACAACATACATTCAGACTGTCATGCTCTCTTGAACTTTCAGTTCAGGCGAGCTACAATTTCTTGTCCCACAGAGTCTTGTCCTATCGAGAACATACTGCTCGGGCTAACTTGAAACGGAAAGCGAATTTTTGTTTTTAAAATAAGTATAATTATACTCTTAAAGAACATAACGTTGTACGTATCTCGTTAATCTACAATGGGTTCTTCAAGCTATATTCATACCAAATATGACAGAAACAAAACAATGCGCCATACTGTTTATACTGCGAGTTGATATTAAAAACGGCATTTTGACTTCATGGTAGGTCTTGATGAAACACTCTGTTGAACTACAGGCTCTCTGGGTCGCAGATGTATACTTTGAACTGAAACATAAAAGCAAGATGCACTACTTGGCGTGTGGTCATGTGCATAGAGCTCAGGTCACTTTTAAATCAGTTAAAATAAAAAGCAACGTTGAGCTCGGACAGTCCTTGACTAGGTGACTGTGTTTGGCAGCTTGACTCAAGAGAGAGTTTCTAGGACTTGTGTCCTGCCCCACAACGAAGCACATGTGGATCATGTGGTCCCACCTTAGGCAAGCGAGTTCGTTCAAAACTGCCTCTGTTCACCCAGTAGAAAGTGGGTACCTGGTGGGACAAGTCATGTGACTAATAACCTTCTAGCGCCTAACAGGCAGCTTGGATATCCGGGGTACTAATGTGTTAGCGCTTTGAGCATGTACAATTTGTGGAAAAGGCGCGTTATAGATGGCCTGTATTATTATTAATTAATGTTCGTCCTCGTTTGTTTGGTTCATCAGATAGTGTCACTTTGTATTTTCTCCCATAACACTCGGTCGATCTAAGTGATCTGTTGAGAAGCGTTAATTCTAATACGTCAGCTCACGCCAATAACATCGATTTATGTTTCGGCTAAGCAAATAAAAGCTAAATATCATATATTAAATCTTACACCTGACGAGATCATTACAAATGTATAATTAGGAACAGGTAAACGACATACTTCTTCCAGGACGCCGTGGAAGAAGTCCATGCCATCACCGTACCCGACCTGCAGTGCACACTGGCTCTTCCCGATGTTACCTGCAAAATATTCAAGAAATGATAAATAATATTTTTCTATGTAATCGATGTTTTTCACGAACAATCAGATAGACGGTTCCTGTTGATCCTAGACCTAACTGACAATGGTTAGATTAAGAATGGGCACTTCACAGAAACAATCACCCCATTCGGATGTTTGATTTCGTACAAAACAAAAGTAATGCTTCAAATGAGTATCTTTTCACATGTGAGCGCCTATTATGTTGTATATTTCTCGGAAATATACACCGAGGATACTGCACAATGTCCAATTGTCAGGAATCCCAATATCAATAAACATATTACACACCGCAGCAGTTAACAATGGTGATCAGGGGTCCCATGTTTACATCCCGAGCACATGTTAGTAGCAAGAGGTTCAACGATGTGCTTCATACTATGTTAGAGGTTATTTTGATAAAGGGATTATTCTGAAGGACCATCCACTCCAAATGTTCGTACCATCAAATGTCCTCTGTAATCTGCGGTTATTGACTTCAACCTTCATCAGTCCATCCTTGACGATCAGCTTCACCTCATTCAAGGACGTGGTGGCCTGAAACGTACCCCCACAAAGGATAGGATAAGGGCAAAGGGTGACAGAGACAAAGAAAAACACCCAGCTACCAAGACGACGGCTGAGTATGAAGCACAATTCGAAACGGATAATATCAATTCGTAACTATCCATTGGCTATATCGATGGTCCATTTTGTTTACGGGGTTCACAGTGACTAACGACTTTCAATGAGATATATAGGCATGTGATGGCACGAGTAGCCACTCATCTACATTCCAGCTTCTCAGGTGACATTGGACATGCACCAATGTTGCAGTAAGGCCAGGAAACTAGAAGTGTGTTTCACAGGTGACCCTTGACAAATCCCAAGACACGCTAGCAACGACCACAAACAAATGCGTAGGATGCCAGGCTATGGACCTTGGCCAAATATTCACAACATTAGGGCAGGGTGCAGGTCCTCCATGAACATGATATGATGGAGTGTATGATAAACGTTTTTAATACTCACTATGTACGATACATTTAAAGTATGCGTAACGTTGTTGCTATTGACAACACGAAACTGCACGGTTGACCACTGGGTGGTGATGTAGATGCTGCCGCCATGCCCGCAGTCATCGTTGGTGACGATAGCCTGAGCTCTGCTTGTAGCCTGAGTGCGTTTGAACGAAAATGAGATGATCAGAGTCTTCCCGAAATGCATGTTGGAGAACCGGAGGATCCGGAGTTGGGTGTTGTTGCTGAAGACGCCGCGGCCACTGTCGGTAGTTACAACGCCAGTGTTTTGTACATAGTGGTGGTTAGTCGAATGGTCGTTCACGTCACTGTTGAAAGGAAGGTAAAACCTCCGCCTGGCAAACTAAAATGAAATTCATTTCGTTTTGTTTTGCATCCACATCAGACAAAACTTCCATAACTTGATCATCGTGTATCATCTTTCGTTAATATAATTACAGTTGTGAGGATATCACGTTAAAGGCATAATGTCACACCACAAAAATAACTATGCATTTCTCTCAATAATACTAACTATCAGCCCTCAGGGAAGCTTCCGTATAATTTATTCTAAAAATACGTATTTATATTACAATATTAAATTTTTAAGTTCGAATGAATTAACAAAACGTTGCATTAAATCGAATCTCGTTCCCTGTATCGGCTGAACATTATTTCAAGCGAACCCCACAGAGTTATGTCCCTTGGAGCGCTCTTCACGAATATCCTACGCACAACTTGTGACTGAAACCAGATCTGCAACATCGACAACAACGCGTGCGACAGTTTTCGATGTGAGGAGCAATTGTTTACATTCCATGGCAAGTATTGTTTGTTTGGAAGCTGTCAGCCTCGAGGTTTCAATTATCGATTTCACGCAAGTCGTAAGGGATAATAAGTCTTTCATTGCATCAACATGAAGCTAAGTTGAGTGCATATATCCCAATATATATAATATAGGCCAAAGTTTTGTCGAAAATGTGTGAAATTGTGCCTTTAAGTAAATTATGTATTTACTGTAAGACTTGCAGCACCATGTTTGTCTATGTGTAGGAAAGTAGTAAATGACCCCAATGAGAAGCGATGCAGACATACCTGGGGACGCGGCATTCTGACCGGTGATGCAGCTACAACTGGTCGTAGAGTACACAGTTCCTGGAGCACAGAATCTGGTGATCCAGTTTCCATGTATCAGTTCCTGATACTGAGCTGTATTTCCTGGCTTTGCCTTCTTGGAGCCGTCGCACAACGACGAGGGAAGGGGTGTCAGCGGAGCAGCTGTTGATGGTGCTGCAGTCGATGGAGCAAATGCTTCCTCTGTGATGGAAAGAAATACTTCTTTGGTTTGCGAAACAAAAAGCCTTTGTACATGTCCAATATTATGGCCCACGCAATTCCTTACTTTGAACCATATACCCCAGTGTTGTGTCAAGTGAACAATTGACATGCTGTTTGTGACGGTGTTTGGTTGGCATTTTAGAATATGCTATTTGATGAACATAGAGACTTTTCTGGGTTTCACCTTCATTTTATTGTTTGGTACAACGTTTCAGGGCTTGTTCTGGCCCCATCATCCGGTAGAACTAAAATACGATTACTGTACTTTACAGTTACCAACTTCCCAGGTCCTAAACTTTAACCAATGGTAATGTCGAATGAACAACTCATAATAAATCATAATGATATATATTATATTACTAATATTTTTGTATTTGGTATGTATCATCCTAACAGACACTGAGGTACTTGAAGAAACATATTGAGTCGGCGTACCTTGTTATACTATGGGGCGGTGGGGTAACCTAGTGGTTACAAGTTCGCTTGTCACGCCGAAGACACGGGTTCGATTCCCCACATGGGTACAATGTGTGAAGCCCATTTCTGGTGTCCCAAACCGTGATATTGCTGGAATATTGCTGAAAGCGGCGTAAAACCAAACTCACTCACTCACTCACTGTTATACTAAGAGGGTAGAGAGCAACCCCCTACCTTCAGCTTCCACTGTGCAGATGACGTTGGCTGGCCAATCACACACCAGATGCTGTTGGTTCCAGTACAGTCCAGGACTACATTGCATTCTATGGAAAATAGTAGTATTGCCGGGTCTGGGTTCTTGGCACTGAATGAACCGGGAGCAGTCGCTGGGGTCAGGGATGTACCCAATACCGTTGACATACCGGCAACCACTGCATGGATCTAAAACAATACAAATAATGTTTTTACTTCTGTTGGGATGAACGGCAGTGCACCAGGTACTGATCGAAACCCCCTCACCCAACTCGTGGACGCAAAGTGATGGTATCACGTTAACCTGTAATTCACAAACAATTTTGCCTCCATAACAGAACGAGTCTTGTAAAAATCTGAAATAAGTGTCATTTTAGTCTATGCATGTATGCCTATGCCTCCAAGTTGGGAATAGACTAAGATTTTACCATTGCATCCTTCTGTGTTGCAGGTTTCTGCGTATGTGTCTGTGGAGGAGCCTACACAGTCAGCACCGCCGTCTCTTGGAGCAGGACTGGTGCAGGTTCTAGTACTTGTGACAGTTCTATATCCACCTCCACAAGATGCTGAACAGTCGCTTGTGGTAATGATCCAGTTTGACCAGCCCCCATCAACTAGAAATAATCGATGATAAGCGAACTAGACATGATCAAACTTGTGTAATCTGTTAGCTGTTGAGAAACACCATGATGAATTCAGCTGAAACTGTCAAACAAAGATGCATATTTATGTTCATTACTTCGTTTCGTGTAAAATATAATGAAGTTTGGGACATATTTTTGAGTGGCAGAGACTATGAAATTGTACAATAGTGGACGGCGGTGTGATATATTTAGACTTGTGTATACTGAGACAGAGTTCTGGAAGGTATTCCACGCACAACAGCTCTATGGGCCTTTCCTTTGTAGTGACTCATGCAGTTGGAGAATGTTCTGAAGTCTTCTTTCTTTGGGGTATAAGGAGAGCCAACCCTTGCCTATCATCTCACATTATATCTCAAGTTACAAGATCACAATTGTGTGGAGATTATACCGACCCTTGACACTCAGCCTGGGCCTATTTTCGAAACTTCACCATTGTTGCAATGAGGTGAATATTACCATCTTATAAAATCATTTCTTTTTTGGGGTATCATATTGCCTCTGAATTTGTACTGAGATTTCTCTTTTGAACTGTTTCTGTAATACCTTTGTAGCGATTTGTATTATTTTGTGGTGTGTTATTTTACACGTACTACAAGTTCATATTGTCTGTCATATAGACATATGCTAGTGTACTTGGAATATTGTTTCTCAAAGACTAGCATCTACGGCGTTAACACTTTAGCATATGGCTAAACGTACCTGGACATCGATTGGTGTTGCAGATCTCTGTGTATCGATCTGTAGGTGATCCTACACAGGTCTCTCCACCGTTGCTAGGAGAAGGGTTGGTGCAGGTCCTGCTCCTGGAGATGGTTCTGGAGCCTCCTCCACAAGATGCTGAACACACTCCCTCAGTAACCGTCCATTCAGTCCAGTTTCCGTCAACTTTGTGTAAAAAGAACAGCTAAGTCAGAATGTATATGTGCATGTAATTATTTGTACCTGTATATAATGTGTATGTATCTCTAACAAACACCTTTTCTACGTTTTTACATCTATGGATGATATCTTTGGGGGGGTTTATTTTTCAGTATTAACTTTCCAAGTTTTATACTGCCAACAGCAAATGTTTTTGATATACGACTATGACAAACCTGGGCAGCCATTGGTGTTGCAAACCTCTGCGTATCGATCTGAAGGTGATCCTACACAGTCCCGTCCGCCGTTGCTGGGTGCTGGGTTGGTGCAGGTCCTGGTTCTGTTGATGGTTCTAGAGCCTCCTCCACAGGATACAGAACACACACCGGTAGTGTCCGTCCACTCGGTCCAGTTTCCGTCAACTGTTGCCATAAGAACAGATGATACAGATATCAAGGAAGCATTAACACAAATATGTTCAAATCCGTATATACATTTAGAAAAAGATGTTTGACATTTTAATCCACTAGTCCAGATTGATCACTATATGTTTATATCCCAAAGAGTACAAAAGTTAAAGGTTTAATTTAGTTTCAGCCATGGTCTCTATCAATTCCCATAGCTCTTTTCTGAAAAAAAATATACTTTTCGTTTTTTTCACTAGCTTCTTTTTTTAAATTTGAAAAAGGCAAATGTACATTTCTAATTTAAGAGTAAGCTCAATATCAGATTGACATGGTTCAACACAAAACCTCAACGCCAAAGAATATCAATCTCGATTCTTGGCTGAAACTGGTGACATTTATATGAGTGAATCGATGAAATACAGAAATGTCCTGAAGGCTGACTCTCATAATTGATAGAGGGAAGGATATTTCAAAATCAGTACGTAAAGTATTATTTCTAATAACCGATATACAAGATATGACATATGTAAAGGCAGGCGAAAGATTAAAGGTGGAAATGAAGGCGAACCTAAATTTAGATTGACACACAAGTTCATCATCTTTGGTTTAATTTAGATATACAAAATGTTTGATGAATGTTTGGCTTCGATTTTCAAGTTAATTGCTACGATAACTTGCTTACTTATAGAGCGACACCTATTTGAGAATTTATAAAGAAGTGTCAACTTTAGTACCGTGAGATTACCAGTTCTAACTGAAGATGTGTGGCTATAAGGACATTTTTTAGACATCGTGTTTCATCTTCTCGAGAGGGCAGACAATTGCCATGTCTCATGACCGTAACATAGATATTGGAACATTTTGCATTACGTTTATTGAAAATATATACAAAAAAAAGTAATACTGTTCACTTCAAACATGGACAGTATCGTCTTATGTTTTATTCTCTCCCCTATGTTTTATTACCTCCCTTATGTTTTATTCCCACTTCGATTTTTCATAATGTCCCTAGTGTTTTATTATCTCCCCTTCGTTCTATTCACTCCCTTTTGTTTTATTTCTTTTATTTATGTGTCTAAACTACCGATCCAGTAAATCGCGCCTCACGACAGCATGGGTTGTTCAAGACCAATTCTAACCCAGATCTTCACGGGTTCCAGGCAACATGACAGCGGCATGTAAATAATCAATTTTTTTTTTTAAAAACTTGAACGACATTTAGAAGTGGTCGGGAGAGAATTTCATCAGATGATGACGGAGTAGATATATACACTTAATAAATACATTTACATATATCTACTTTACATTGTATTCCCTCCATTATGTTTTTTTCTCTCTCTCATGTTTCATTCCTCCCTTACATTTTATTTATTTCCCTTATGTTTTATTCTCTCTTATGTTTCATTCTCCCTTATGTTTTATTTATTTCCCTTTTGTTTTATTATCTCTCTTATGTTTTATTCCCTCCTTTATGTTCTATTCTCTCCCTTATGTTTTATTCTCTCTTATGTTTCATTCTCCCTTATGTTTTATTTATTTCCCTTATGTTTTATTATCTCTCTTATGTTTCATTCCTCCCTCATGTTTTATTTATTTCCCTTATGTTTTATTCCCTCCCTTATGTTTTATTCTCTCTCTTATGTTTCATTCCTCCCTTACGTTTTATTTATTTCCCTTTTGTTTTTATTCTATCTCTTATGTTTCATTCCTCCCTTATGTTTTATTCCCTCCCTTATGTTTTATTCTCTCCCTTATGTTTTATTCTCTCTCTTATGTTTCATTCCTCCCTTACGTTTTATTCCCTCCCTTATGTTCCATTCCTCCCTTATGTTTTATTCTCTCCCTTATGTTTTTTTCCATCCCTTATGTTTCATTCTCTCTCTTATGTTTCATTCCTCCCTTACGTTTTATTTATTTCCCTTATGTTTTATTCCCTCCCTTATGTTTTATTCTCTCTTATGTTTCATTCCTCCCTTACGCTTTATTCTCTCTCTTATGTTTCATTCCTCCCTTACGTTTTATTTATTTCCCTTATGTTTTATTCCCTCCCTTATGTTTTATTCTCTCGCTTATGTTTTATTCCACCCTTATGTTTTATTCCCTCCCTAATGTTTTATTCTCTCTCTTATGTTTCATTCCTCCCTTATGTTTTATTCCCTCCCTTATGTTTCATTCCTCCCTTACGTTTTATTATTTCTCTTATGTTTCATTCCTCCCTTACGTTTTATTTATTTCCCTTATGTTTCATTCCTCCCGTATGTTTATTCTCTCCCTTATGTTTCATTCCTCCCTTATGTTTCATTCCTCCCTTATGTTTTATTTCCCTTATGTTTTATTATCTCCATTATGTTTGTTTCTACCTTTGCAGACCTTCTGTACCAGACTGAGGGTAATATTGTTGAGTTCACTAAAAGAGCTGATATTCTTGACATTGGCGTTAGATGAGGCAATGTCTCTCAGTTCTGATATTCTGATACTTGAACCGATTCCAATTGCAAACATCTCAATGCCGATCGCCTTAGCAGCTGTAGCTTCCTGAGCAGTTCTCTCGGGATAACGTGACCGTCCGTCGGTGATGACGATGCCTACTTTGGGAACGCCAGGACGACTCTCATTCCTCATAATCTCGGTCATTTTGGCGATTCCAAGGTGCGTGTTTGTCCCTTCCTGGGGGTGTTCAAACTGGTTTATCTGGGTCTGCAGCTGGGACCGGTTGGTGCTGAGGTGTGCTACGTCAGATACAGACGAACTGTACACCACGGCACCAAACATTTGACCTTCCTCTCCAAGGTTCAGCCAGTTTGTCAACTGAATAAGGGAATCCTTCAGAAGGATAAATTCGTCATCTAAGATGCTGTCAGAGCCATCTACAACGGCTACGACATCCAACAGGTGCGCGCAGTCTGAAACAGAAGTATGTGTTCAAAAGGGTTTCCAAACATTAGTTCAATTTTCATTTTAAACGTTTTATAAGTTTTAAGTGACCAAACCGACATTGTTTATTCTTTTCCCGTTATGCCTTCGAATACTCTAATTTGGTAAAATCATATGGTAACATGAAGCTTCCAGATGAATAAACGCATCAACAAGGGACAAATGACCAAACATAAGCTTGTTTGGACTTTTACTGAGCCCAAGCCTCCAAAGTTTTCGGATTTTAATACACAATCACAAGTCGCAGGCAATGCGACCCAGATAAATAAATTTGAAAAGCACCTGATTCGAAAATCGACTTCTGCAATATTTCTTAGCTGGCTTAACGCCACGTAAAGTAAACCGCCTTTTATGACGGTATTATGTTTGTAATCAAGTCTGGACCAGACAACACCGTGCAAATTATTAAATTGAAATTGATGAGATGATGTAATGTATGTATATTTCAGTCTCACTCTGGCCAGACACTGTGTGAACACCGAGAGCGAGGACAATCACCGCGAACCAGTTCACTCTGTCCACATTCATGATGAGACTGAAAACAAAACGCGTTTGCGTCCGTGAGTCGAATGACGTATCCAGTGATGTTTCTCTAAATTCATAGTATGTCTGATGAATGTGAGACGAAAACAGTCCATATTGTACAAGTGTACATAAACCTTTGAGGATCAGTGCAGTAAGACCACCCTAATCTTGTCGAATGTGGGCTGAAAACAATTTAAAAGCATTTCTTTCAAATAGTCAAAGACAAGCCAGTGACTCTACAGTTATTAGAAATTGATAGAACAACTCGGAATTTTCAAGAAGCCGCACGTTATAAATCTGTGCCATATGCAAATTGTATGTATTTCTGTATGAGGCTGCTGTTAGGCTGAGTGACTGAGTTTTTCCGTCACATTGGCAACATTTCAGCCATGTCCTGACGACAGAAAGTCATGACGACAGAAAGTCACAGTTCTTCTTTATAGAAATCTGTCGTCGAAGGACAGAATAACAACTATAATATGACAAAAAATATTTGATACGTTTTAAAATGCTAAATTATTATTCAACACAGTATAGAATTGGGCTATCGATCGCCATCAACCACAATTAAGCCAACATACTGGCGACCATTATTAATGCTTGTATAGGGCCCGAAAGTAGGTTACGGCACTTCGCGAAACCTTAGTACTTCTGGTGACAAACGACGTTTCATACCTTTTCAAATGGTCGCATGATTGTCAGTTGACAATAAGGAACCGATAATCCTTGCAGGAATAACAAATTCCCGATCTAACCATCCCCAAATTAGTCAACGATTAGGACTGTCAACAGCTGTGACAGCCAGGCATAGTTGTACACTTGGTCCGGTCTAGTAGAGTATTTGGGGGTCGCGCAATTTGGAACCAGAACTAGTTCTCCAATATACGCTTGTCACCGGAAATCTGGTATCGTAAGTAAGCTGGGCCCCGTCCCACATATCGCAAGTTCGCGCGCGCAAAGGGAGCCAGGAACCAGCTTAGTACCGGAAGTAGCGCCTAGCGAGATTTACAGGCCCAATATAGTGAAACATTGGAGTAGGTGAGCAAGTTACACAATCCAGATACACAAGTTTGTGTTAACACCTACCGTCCTATTGAGAAGAGTCTGTAGTGCCCGCAGTTGTAGTTATTCGACGAAGTTGGCTGTCAACGAATACAGTTATACTTTCTTGAAACCTGTCTTTGAAGGACAGTAAAACAACTATATTATGATAAAATATACTACACTAGCTTCAGATCATTTTAAAATATCAAATTACTATACCATAACACAATAAAGAATGCATTTAAGAAGAAGAAGGGTTTATTTTGTATAAAGGCCATACGACCCATCGTACAAGGTGGTACAATAGTGATTTTGGTTACCATTTTCATACAACAACGCTAACAGGAGCAGAATCAACATGTTCTATGAACTTGACAAAATTATTTATGATGTTATTGTCGGATGATGTACATATGCTGCGGAGTGAATGATAATATCCATGGACCGTTTTCGGAATGTAACGCCGACGCATATCCTCATAGCATTTAAAAATATAGACAATATGGATTTCATCCTCAATACTTTTACAGTGTTTACATAACACAATATCATCATTGCAGGAGGCAGTACCTCTTCTAATATATTTGATACCTAGTGCATTACACCCTGATCGAAATAATGTGAACAGACGCTTGCACTTATTACCTATGTTCAATGATAAATATTTTTCACAGGTCAACAGAGATTTATGGGACTTATAGAAAGACAGCGAAGGAACATCTAGGGACAAATGCCACTCTTGCATAGAGCAGTTGTTAATTCTTTAAGTAAACATATATAGAAACATTTTTGTATCACCGACATATTGTGAAACCCGAGCAGTACCAAAGCCAAGATAAAATAACAAATCACTGACATGCCGAGCCCATGTGGGACGTTTCCTGAATTCAACAGATAATACAAATTGATAACATTGATATGGATATCTACTTTGATGCATTCTTAATAATCTTAGCCAGTATTTAATACATTTGACATAATAAACATTGCTTAAGGGTGCCCTCCCACATTCCCCATATGCAACAGCATTAGATGATCTGTAACTAGTCTCAAGTAAAAATTTGCAAAATTTTCGATAGACAATTTCAATCCTTTCTGTCTTTTTAAAAAACCCATATCTCAGCACAATATGTTCGAATTGGTACAATCTTTTTATCAAAAATATAAAATCCTTCTGAGAGTGACATATCATATCGTCTTATAAATGACTTGATCGGTCACAGTGCCTTATTAGCTTGATCAGATAATGATTTACATGCCCTAGTCCAAATCAATTTGGGAGTTATCATAAGTCCTAGATATTTATAAATATTGACAGTTTCCATTCGAATGCCATTATAGAAACATTTTTCGTGTTTGGACAAGGGTCCACCCATTTTAAAAACAATTATTTTCCTCTTATCAGTATTAATATCCATGCCCCATTTATGGGAATACATATGTAGGGCGTCAAGGCGGCGCTGTAATCTAACAACAGTATCAGCTATCAAAACCAAATCATCTGCAAATAACAGAGCAATAATATTCAACATATTTTCGGAAATAAATATACCATCATCAAACTTATTTCCTAAGGTCAATACAAGCTCATTAATATATAAAGAAAATAATACCGGACTAAGGGCACAGCCTTGCCGAACCCCACAGGCGCTATCAAAATATTCAGTTAATTTCTTAACATACTCATAGGTTACAGTGGCCTTGACATTAGTATACATATTTTTAATCAACTTGAAAATTTTTCCATGGATCCCATTTTGCAAAAGAACATACAGCAATTTAACCTATTCACCATGTCAAAGGCCTTGCGAAAATCTATGAATGCAATACATACTAGCCACATAAAGAAACTGTGCATTGTCAAAATAGTATCCCAGTTGATAAGTACGATAACAATGTCAAAGGTACATGTAAACTTTAATGGAGGATCATGAGACCATAACAAGTCGGGAGAATTCCAATTGAAAAGTCAATCACAGTCACGAGTCCACAAGCGGGACAGGGGTCAAACGACCATGTCACAGCTCAATAACGGGTATGTCCACCATCGGCATTGAGAACAGCAGTGCATCGACGACGCATAGAGCCTATCAAACGTGCAAGGAAGGCTTGTTGGATGTCACGCAAGATTCTCTCAAGTTCTGTTGCAAGGTCAAGGACGTTATCTGGCGGATGAGGAAGACGGCGTAGACGTCGATCCATCTCGTCCCAAACATGCTCTATCGGGGAGAGATCCGATGAATTTGCGGGCCAGGACAGAAAGTCAACGTTGTGGTGTTGCAAGAAATCCATAGCAACCCTTGCCGTATGAGGGCGGGCATTGTCCTGTTGGAATATTAACCCAGGGCCATGACATTGCAGAAAAGGAATTGCCACAGGTCGAAGAATCTGATCCCTGTAGCCCACACCAGTTAAGTTGCCCTGAACAATCACCAAAGGAGTTCTTTGGCGTGCTGTTATTCCACCCCAAATCATCACGGAACCACCACCAAAGCGATTCCTCTCCAAAACACAGGCCTGTGCATAACGTTCTCCCACGCGTCTATAGGCACGTTGACGTCCATCACTATGGGAACTGTTAAACCTGGACTCATCTGTAAAAACAACATTTCTCCACCAAAACAAGGGTCTGCGGACATGATTTCGGCACAACATTCGGCGAGCTTGTCGATGACGTTGTGCAGACGTGAGCCTTGGCATGCTATGCGTTTCAATAGCCGTTTAAATTTTGTTTGAACGATCGCAAGGGCAGGAGTTGTACTTTCCAAAGTGACATTATTGTGTGGCATTCATTTGCTCTGTTTCCCTTTCCCGGAATGCACGTGCAACAACGTATTGCACGTCTCAAGGACGAACCCACTGACGTCACGGAACGTGGCACGTGCATGCATGTTGGATACATGTCACTAATCTCTGAGTTTGAATCCTTATGTGTCTACACGGGTTTGATAAATTTAGATTTTAAATTTTTGTATGCACAGTTTCTTTGTGTGCATAGTATCTTCCCATTCTTATGTGTTAAATACTTCTGAATGATTGTCTGGAGAATAAGATACTGTCCACAGTCGAATGGTCTGTCTTAAATCCACCCTGATATTCTCCAATTATCTCACGAAGTTGCAAAAAAGTACTCCAATCTTTTGTTTAGAATCGAAACAAACATTTTGCTCATTACATTCAGAAGAGAGATCCCCTATAATTATTCGGGTCAGATCTACTACCGTTCTTATGTAGTGGGATAATAATGCCAGTTGGCCAGGAATTTGGCCACAAGCCGGATGAGAGTATCTTGTTGAACAGTAATACTAAATAGGGAACTATTATATGTTCAGAAACTTTGAAAAACTCTGCGGGAATACCATCATCGCCTGGGGATTTGTTACACTTTAGATGTCTGATAGCATTTATTACATCCTGATTTGTCC